GCGCGTCAAGCAGCGGGACGAGATTTCGCGCACGCGGTAATTTCGCCAACCAGTCAACAGATTGTAAATTTCGTCGCACCTAAATGTGACTTTCGACGCACCGGCAGAAGTTGGCGATTGTGGCTTGCGACGAAAGTGCAGCCAGCAAGCCAACCAATCCCAAACAATCAGAAACACGTTTACGCGTTCCTAACAATTTCCTACGGCGTGATTTCCGCAAAACTGGTTCGCGGCACGACGAATTCAAAGAGGTACTTAACTACGCCTGATTTCCACAAATCCACACAGCTCCAAACAGCAATTGCTCTTACTCAAATTTCCAAGTAAAAACTGCATTGTACTTCTGCTGCAATGGCAAACTCCGTTGACCATTTTGTTTGGAAATTCTTCAAGGTTCCCGAAGGGGGAAAATCTGACTCTACTTTGGAGAAGCAATGCACTTTTTGCAACGGCACTTGGAAATTCAACGTGGTCCGAGCGCAGAACCATATTCTTGGAACCCCTAATAGCGGCGTGAGAGCGTGCCCCTCAGCTACTTTCGAGGCGAAGGAGGCTGTTAGGGCTACCTTGGCAAAGAAGAAGAGTGACGACGAGGAGAAGAAGAAAGCGACTCACAGGACAATGAATGCGTTCACGCATACTCCAACCAGCCACACGGGCAGCAACATGTCGGAGAGCAGTGGTTGCGCGCGAAAGCGGCAAGCGACGCAGATGACACTCACGGATGGGCGTCCCAAGCCGGTGGACGCTGCGAACGCACAATTGGCGATTGCGACGTTCTTCCATGTTTGTCGCATCCCGCCACACGTGGCTGAACACGAGGTCTTCAAAACCATGTTGAAGAAGGTGGCGGCTGCTGGCACTGGTTTCACCCCCCCCGGGCGTCGGCTCATCATGGGCCGCCTTCTTGAGGAGTGCAAGACGAAGACGGAGAATGCGCTCAAGGATGTGAAAGAGTCCTGGGACGACATTGGAGTGAGCATCGCGTGCGACGGATGGACGGATGGGGAAGGTCGTCCTCAGCTCAACATTTTGGCCGTCAACTCCAACGCGTCGGTCTTCTTGTTTGGCGTTGATTGCGGCACGGAGAAGAAAGGAGCTGATTACATCGCCGGGCACTTGAAAACTGCGATTGAGGAGGTCGGCGCGGAGAATGTCGTCGGAGTGCTGATGGATGGTGCGAGCGCGAACATCAACGCTGCCATCCTGGTCAAGGAGGAATATCCGAAGGTGCAGTGGATTCGTTGTGCCGCACACTCGCTTAGCCTCCTTATGAAGGACATCGGCGGGCTCGACTGGGCCAAACCGACCATCGACGAGGCGCAGCAACTCATTTCGACATTGAAGAACGGGCAGTGGATCACGGGCTACTTTCGGGAAAAGGATTCGCTGAAGGTGCTGAAGCCTGCAGGCACGCGGTTTGGGACTAACTACATCGCCCTTGAGCGTCTGGTTTCGGTGCGTGACACGCTGGAGGCGATGATGAAGACCAAGGGGTTCGACGATTACACGAAGGGGAGGCCCAAAATGAAGGACGCACGCGACACGGTGCAGCGGAAAGGATTCTGGAAGGGCGTTGAGCTAGTAGTTGCCGTTCTCAAGCCGGTCTACATGACGCTGAGGAAAGTCGACGGGAATCAAGAGGTCATGGGCAAAATGTACGAAATGATGATCGATTTGGAGGAGCAGGTGGATAGGGCGTGCGCGGATTTGGAGAGCGCCGAGAAGGAGGAGGTTGCGGAGATCGTGCGGAATATGTGGAATAATGACATCAATTGCCCGCTTCACGTGGTGGGGCGCATTCTCTATCCACCCAACCAAAACGAGAAAATTTTTGGACACGACGACAAGGAGTGCACCGCAATCTTTAAGCGGTTTGTGCGCGACTACTACAAGGGAGAGACTATGAAAGTCGGGAATGTCATTAAACCAATGGCCACGATCGTCGAGGGCGAGGTGTTGACGTACATCAAAGGGAAGGGGGAAATCGGAGAGCAGAAGGCTAAGGACGAACACATCCTTATCAAGGAGGGTCACTTGGACCCCGTGCAGTGGTGGATTATGAATGGCTCCGATTGCCCCAACCTGGCGAAGCTGGCGTGCAGGGTACTCAAGCAGTGCGTGTCGGCATCGACATGCGAGACGAACTGGGGTGTGTGGGAGTCTATCCACACCGCACGCCGCAACCGACTCGACCCCAAGCGTCTTGCGGATTTGGTTTACATAAGCCACAACTACCACACGGTGAAGAAGCTTAATGACGACTTCTCCAAGAAAATGATGGTTTCGGAACTTTCAGTGATTCGGGAGGAGCCAAAGGATGGCTATGAGCCCCTCGATGATGATAACGACATCCCTGATGATGCGTATGTGGACACTCCCGTTGACGACGAGCCTAGCATGGATGAGTGAAGGTAGCATCTGCAAGTTTGCATGTTATAAGCGTAGCACCTGTTGGAAACTTGGTATTTTGTGGATGTTTTCTATCTTCCTACGAAAAGACTTAATGGCCAATGGAATTCTGTACAAAAATCTGCCTAGGGTTCCCTCCTCTCTTTTTTTTTCTGGGCAGGTAGAAAAATTTTAGCCTGCCCGTACATACAGGCCTAAAACCAGAATCGCGTAAATGTACGTAAACGTAAACGTACACGTACGTAAACGTAACGTAAGGAACCAACTTAGCCTGAGAGGGAGCAGTGCAGCTGAGAGGGAGCAGTGCACCTGAGAGGGAGCAGTGCACCTGAGAGGGAGCAGTGCACCTGAGAGGAAGCAGTGCATCTGAGAGGGAGTAGTGCACCTGGGAGGGAGCAGTGCAGCTGAGAGGGAGCAGTGCAGCTGAGAGGGAGCAGTGCACCTGAGTGGGAGCAGTGCACCTGAGAGGGAGCAGTGCACCTGAGAGGGAGCAGTGCAGCTGAGAGGGAGCAGTGCAGCTGAGAGGGAGCAGTGCAGCTGAGAGGGAGCAGTGCAACTGAGAGGGAGCAGTGCAGCTGAGAGGGAGCAGTGCAGCTGAGAGGGAGCAGTGCAGCTGAGAGGGAGCAGTGCAGCTGAGAGGGAGCAGTGCAGCTGAGAGGGAGCAGTGCAGCTGAGAGGGAGCAGTGCACCTGAGAGGGAGCAGTGCACCTGAGAGGGAGCAGTGCACCTGAGAGGGAGCAGTGCACCTGAGAGGGAGCAGTGCAGCTGAGAGGGAGCAGTGCACCTGAGAGGGAGCAGTGCACCTGAGAGGGAGCAGTGCACCTCTGAGAGGGAGCAGTGCAGCTGAGAGGGAGCAGTGCAGCTGAGAGGGAGCAGTGCACCTGAGAGGGAGCAGTGCACCTGAGAGGGAGCAGTGCACCTGAGAGGGAGCAGTGCACCTGAGAGGGAGCAGTGCACCTGAGAGGGAGCAGTGCACCTGAGAGGGAGCAGTGCAGCTGAGAGGGAGCAGTGCACCTGAGAGGGAGCAGTGCACCTGAGAGGGAGCAGTGCACCTGAGAGGGAGCAGTGCACCTGAGAGGGAGCAGTGCACCTGAGAGGGAGCAGTGCACCTGAGAGGGAGCAGTGCACCTGAGAGGGCGCAGTGCAGCTGAGAGGGAGCAGTGCACCTGAGAGGGAGCAGTGCAGCTGAGAGGGAGCAGTGCACCTGAGAGGGAGCAGTGCACCTGAGAGGGAGCAGTGCACCTGAGAGGGAGCAGTGCACCTGAGAGGGAGCAGTGCACCTGAGAGGGAGCAGTGCACCTGAGAGGGAGCAGTGCACCTGAGAGGGAGCAGTGCACCTGAGAGGGAGCAGTGCACCTGAGAGGGAGCAGTGCACCTGAGAGGGAGCAGTGCACCTGAGAGGGAGCAGTGCACCTGAGAGGGAGCAGTGCACCTGAGAGGGAGCAGTGCACCTGAGAGGGAGCAGTGCACCTGAGAGGGAGCAGTGCACCTGAGAGGGAGCAGTGCACCTGAGAGGGAGCAGTGTACCTGAGAGGGAGCAGTGCAGCTGAGAGGGAGCAGTGCACCTGAGAGGGAGCAGTGCAGCTGAGAGGGAGCAGTGCAGCTGAGAGGGAGCAGTGCAGCTGAGAGGGAGCAGTGCACCTGAGAGGGAGCAGTGCACCTGAGAGGGAGCAGTGCAGCTGAGAGGGAGCAGTGCAGCTGAGAGGGAGCAGTGCACCTGAGAGGGAGCAGTGCACCTGAGAGGGAGCAGTGCACCTGAGAGGGAGCAGTGCAGCTGAGAGGGAGCAGTGCAGCTGAGAGGGAGCAGTGCACCTGAGAGGGAGCAGTGCACCTGAGAGGGAGCAGTGCAGCTGAGAGGGAGCAGCAGTGCAACTGAGAGGGAGCAGTGCAACTGAGAGGAAGCAGTGCACCTGAGAGGGAGCAGTGCACCTGAGAGGGAGCAGTGCACCTGAGAGGGAGCAGTGCAGCTGAGAGGGAGCAGTGCAGCTGAGAGGGAGCAGTGCAGCTGAGAGGGAGCAGTGCACCTGAGAGGGAGCAGTGCACCTGAGAGGGAGCAGTGCACCTGAGAGGGAGCAGTGCAGCTGAGAGGGAGCAGTGCACCTGAGAGGGAGCAGTGCACCTGAGAGGGAGCAGTGCAGCTGAGAGGGAGCAGTGCAGCTGAGAGGGAGCAGTGCAGCTGAGAGGGAGCAGTGCAGCTGAGAGGGAGCAGTGCAGCTGAGAGGGAGCAGGTGCAATGAAGAAGAAAAGTGGAAGACAAGAAGCAGCTTGAATGAAATGCTTCACTCACCACACGTGATCAAGTCAAGAGGGGGGGAAGATTGGGGGCGGCGGGGAGGGAACGAAGAGTGGAGAAAGACGAGTTAAGGGCAAGGCGAGGCAGGATTGCTGAAGGCAGAATGGAGGCACAGCAACGAGTGGGAGGGGTGTCGCCACTGATATTAGGCGCCGCTGGGCTCCACATGATGCTAGTCAGTGGGGACATAGTGCGCGTGTTGAAGCGATGACATCTAGTGACAAAAGAGCTGACACGTACTGCTCGTTGGTTACATCTGGTGCAAATTGGGTTACATCTAGTGGCAATGGCTTACCTCGCCATTCTCTGTAAGGTACCCTCCAAGGTTGGCAAACTCCCTTCGATAGATGGAGACCAAAAGGTTGATGGCGCCCTGCATGAACATGGGCACATGTAGATGAGGGCGGGTGGGCACACGCACGAAAGGGACAGCTGAGATGCCTCAGAGCAACGCCACGCGGTGGAGGGGAACCAGCAGGATGAGCAGCAGCAGGGGCAGGCCAGCCATGCCCACAAGCAGCATCCAAGCCAGATGCGCCATGTCGACACACAGCATCTAAAATATATGTTTTTTGGGGGGGGTGTTGAGGAGATCACAGGAGGAAACCAGGCCCCCTTTCCCACGCCGATCCGCCTGCAGGCACTTGGGGCCGAAGCCCACGGGCACCATTCGTAAGAGACAGACACCCTTTCCCGATTATTTCTGGAGCAATATTCCCACACAACACTCACACGCGAGGTAGCTAGGCATGAGCAAAACCGGGTATTTACCCGACCCGACCAGGTTTTGCTATACCCGACTTCGGGTCGGGTATTTTCGGGTCGGGTACGGGTCGGGTAACATGCCCAGGACCAATACCCGGACCCGGGATTTGGGGGCGGGTAATTTATTACCCGCCTGGCGGGTCCGGGTATACCCGACCCGGTTTCCTTGAAAAGCGGGTAGTATTACCCGCGTCTTTCTACCCTGTTGGGCTACTAAGCCTACGACCTAGATAGTGCTTCAAAAAACGTGAGCTGTGGGAGGGAGTATGAGGTGCGCCAAATCTTTAACAGTTCTGGTGTGGTGAGTGGGTCGTGAGTGGGGCCTGAGTGGGGAGTTGGTTGGGTTTTCTTGTTGGGATGGGGTTGTGTGCGATTTCTGGGGGTTTGATTCTTTGACCCGCAGAGTCAATTGGTTGGAACTCCAACCAATGTGGTGCTGTGCGGTTGGCTGGATTCAGGTTGGGTTGCACATTCGATTGGGGAAATTCGATTGGTTTGACTTCCAACCAATTCCCCCCAATTCAACCACCCTGAATGCATCTGTATCTACGAAACCCAACCCCTGCCAATCTACAATGCTCTAAGTGACCTAGCAGCTCACGTAACCTAGATATTTGATGAAATTTCTATACCAGCGCGACTAATGTCTCGCTGGTTCCGTCGGGTAGACCGCTACCCGATTTCGGGTCGGGTACCCACTACCCCACGCGTCGGGTAACCCGGACCCGACCCGGGCAATATTCAGGATTTCCGATACCCGACCCGCCCTAAAAGCGGATCCGGGTACCGGGTACCCGACCCAAGCGGGTAGTATGCTCAACCCTAGAGGTAGCTCACCTCTCGGATCTCCAGCGTGGGCATATGCGGCAGGAAGTCGTTGCCCACGAAGAAGCACATGAAGACGAAATCGTCAAGCACCCTCTCCAGGTCCATCTGCACCCCTGGCACCCTGAACTCGAGCTCCAGGTACTCGCGCAGCACCCAGCACTGCAGCAACTGTGGGGGGGGAGACAGGGCGCAGTGCATGGGACGCGAGGGGCGCAGTGCATGGGATGCGAGGGGGTGCAACAGGAAGGGAGGTGAGACGAGGCATGTCACCCTCTCCAGGCCCATCTGCACCCCCGGCACCCTCAACTCCAGCTCCACGCACCCACGGAGTACCCAGCACAGGAGCAACTGTGGGGGGAATGAGTGGATGCGTGGGAAGGGTGAGGGAGGGCAGGGAGCAGAACTGGCCACTGAATGAAATCGTTGATCGCCCACCCTCGCCACGTCCATCTGCATCCCGGGCACTCGGAACTCCAGCTCCAGGTATTCCCTTGGCACCCTGCACTGCACTGCAGCAACTGGTAGGGGGGATGAGTAGGAGGAGGGGGGTATGGGGTGTGAGGCCAGAAAAGACAGTTCACCCTCTCCCGGTCCATCTGCATCCAGGGCACTCAAAACTCCAGGCTCCAGCTCCAGGTACTCACGACCCACAGCACTGCTGCAACTGGTGGAAGAGCCAGCGGGGTGGGGGAGGGAAGAGAGAAGGGGGGGGGAAGGTGGAAGGATGGGGAAGGTGCGATGTGGTTGGGGGGGGGAGAATGAGTGGAGGGGGTGGGCAGTGAGTGGGGGGGTGGGGAGTGAGTGGGGGGTTCGGAGTGTGAGTGCAGGGGGACTGGGAAGTGACGGGGGGCGTGGGGGGGGTTGGGCAGTGAGTGGAAAGGGGGGGGGGGCTCAGAATTCCACCTCAACGTACCTCCCCACACACGCACATACCTGGACTGAAACCGTTTCTCTGGCAAGTCACTCCACTTCTCGCACTGCTAGCCCCTCTTGTGCTTCGCCTTGCCCCTCATGCTCCTGCTGCTAGATGCATAATGAGGAGTTTACTGCTAGGTTACCTTCACAGACACACAACTATCTCTCCCCCCTCCAACACACACACCTGGAACGGCTTCTTGGTCACGCCGCCCTCCTTCTCGTCGTGCTCGCCCCTTTTGCGCTTCGGCTTGCCCTCACACTCCGCTGCCAGGTGCCCCGTCTGCCCGCACAGAAAACATTTGTCCACCTGCCCGGGCTGAAACACCACCTGCTCGGTCAGCCGTGGGGAAAAAGGGAGGTGTACAAGAGAGAGGAGACGGAAGGCAACGATGGACATGGGTCCAAACATTCGTTAGCCTGTCATCCTTACCAAATGACCCAACAACCACTCTGAAAAACACAAGTCGCAGCGGAGTGCAAGTAGGCTAGCATGCAGAAGTACGAGGAAGGTTTAGGTGAGTGTAGTGAAGGAGGGGAGTGAGGGAGGGAGTACAAGAGAGGGAGTGTGCGCACAGACCTCTCTGAGAATGGTGAAGTGTACTTCGTGAGTTGCCAGCGCCAGCATGATCAGATCCGCGTCCTGTTGGACACAGATTAAGAGAGGGAAAAAAGTGGGAGGAAAAGGTAAGTTTCGTGTGTTGCCAGGGCAAGCATGCTCATATTCACATCCTGAGAGGGAGAATTATAAAGTGGGAGGTGGGAGGAGGGAGGGGGTGGGAGCAGACATGGTTAAAATGCGATGCGATGCGATATCGCATCGCATTTTGTCATATCGCGCGTGATATCGCATCGCTGCGATATTCTGTTTCAAAATTTGAAATCGCATATCGCGATTTAGGGTGCGATGTTAAAAAATATTGCACCCTTAAATGCGATATATCGCGCGATGCGATTTAATATCGCATCGCGTTTAGGGGTCGGAGGAGAAAATCAGAACTACAAGGCTGGCTTTCCTAGGTGCGCGAGGAATCAGGTGAGTGAAGTTTGAGGGAGAATGAGATATATCGTGGCCCCTCTCCGATGTAGAGCGTGTTAGAGGGGCAGGGGTTGGATTCTGTAGATGCGGAGGAATTTAGTGCGGTTGAAGTGGTGGAAATTGGTTGGATTTCCAACCAATTGAATTAGTGGGGGTCGAGTTTCAATCATCCCCCTAAATCCCTTTAACCGCACACCACCACATTCCATCCACCACCGCCCATTTCAAAATTTGAATCTCCAACCAACTCCCCTCCCTCAACCGCACTGCACCCCTTTTCAACTAGAATTTCCAACCCTTCCTCTCCAAGCTCCTCACAAACACCTCCCCGTCAATTACGCCAACCCCAAACAGCCGCGCGCAATTTCCGCACGCCATTACAACGAGAGAACCCTATTTTTTGCTAAGTTCAGGGCCCGCGCCCATGTTCCCCCCCCCTTTCTGGCGCAATTCCGCAGCGCGATATGAGGATGTATGGCGCGCGCACGCACGTTCGCACGCACGCATAAGCATGCGTGCACGCACAAACAAAACTCGATATGTAAGGAGCATGCAGCCTGACCTGTGTGCTCTACCACGGTACACGAACGAAGGTGGTGTGGGGAACGAGCAGATGCCGACCAGACGCCGACCAGACGCCGACCAGATGCCACACACATACCAAACCGTAGATGCAGTGCCGTGTGTTGGGGTCAAAGCCCGGGAGGTTCCTCTGCAGACGAATGTAGTTCATGATCTTGTGCTCGCCCTCCCCGGGCACGTTGGCGTCGGAGAGAATGACCTGACGGCACCACGTGATCACCAGGCACAATGGGAGGGGAGCAGAGCAGAGGGTGGGGTAGAGTAGGGTGGGAAAAGGGTGGGAGCATGTGAAGGCAGGCGGATGCAGTTCATGATGATCTTGTGCTCGCCCTCCCCGGGCACGTTGGCATCCGACAGGATGACCTGGCAGGCGAGATGGGGAGAGGCGTGGGTTCGGGTTCAGGTGGGAAGGACGGATGGATGGATGGAGCCATGCAGTGCAGATCCAAGCAAATATAGTGCATGGACCTTGTGCGCCCCCTCCCCTGGCACGTTGGCGTCGGACAGGATGACCTGGTGGCACCATGCGAGGAGGTGGGACGATGGAGGTGATCAGTCGAAGGGCACCGAGGGCAATAAGCAATCAATCACCAACATGCACTGGACGAAGGAGCACACAGGTAGTAGTACTGCAGAGCCACGGACAGCTGCCCCATGAGGGGCGTGCCCTCCCCCCTCTTTCTCTCCACTCACCCACCCCCTTCAAACTCTTAAACCCTCAACTTCAACCCTGTAACACAACACTTTAATTTGTCTCACTTAAACGTTCTTCCATCAAGGACCTCAGGTGGATGCAGTACTGCAGCGCCACGGACAGCTGCTGCATGAAGGGCAGAAGGCGCCTGCCCTCCCTTCTCATCACACTGAGCTCCCTAAAACCCCAATTCTTGGTCCCTCAGCCTTCAACCCCCTCACCTTGACCTTCTTCCAGGGGGTATCCTGGTTGACCCTCGGGTGGATGCAGTACTGCAGCACATGGACGGCTGCTGCATGAAGGGGAAAACGTGTCTGCCCCCCCCTCTCTCTCCTCCCCCTAACCTCCCTTAACCCTGAACCCTCAAAGTTGATTCCTACTTTGACGTTCTTCCAGGCGGGGTCCTGGTTGATGCGCAGGTGGATGTAGTACTGCAGTGCGACGGACAGCTGCTGCATGAAGGGCGTTCCGGGGGTGATGACGTTGGAGTCGTGCGTCTCCGACTTCTCCTTGGGCGGCACCATCCGCCCCTCCAACTCGAACTCCTTTCTCAGCCGCTCCTCCTCTGCTGCCTGTTTTACATTGAGCGGGGGGGGGGGCACGAAACCACATGGAAATGGAGGGGAGGCGAATGCAAAAGGATGGCGTTGGAGTCAGCGTGCCGGACTTGTCCTTCTTTCAGAGCACCATGCACCCCTCCAACTCGAACTCCCTCCTCAGCCGCTCCTCCTCTGCTGCCTGTGGCGTTGAAGAGGTGACGGGAGGAAAGAACGTCTGCACGGGGATCACAGGAGACAAGGGGGGAAAGCAACGGCGTGCCGGAGGAGGAGGGGGGGGGAGGGGGGGGGAAGGGAAGGGGGGGGAGGGGAGGATGACGGTTGGAGTCATGCGTCTCTGGCTTCTCCTTTGGTGAAGACATTAGAGACGTGTGTTTGTCACGTCTTTAGCAACACCACCACCCCCTTCGACCACGAACCACGGCCCATCGTTCAATTCAGCACCAATGTGGAAGGAGAAGGGGAGTGAGAAGCAGGTGACCAGCACGCAATGCAGCACTGGCGCGCGCAAGAAGCAGGAGAACGGAAGGGAGGAGGAGCCCGAGAGAAAGAGGGGAAGGAAGGGACCGCGTGAGAGAGGAAGCGGGGAACCCGCGGGAAAGGGAAGGGGACGCAGGAAGTGGCCGGTGGTTCTGCCGCATCTGCTTCTGTGAATGGAACAAGCAGAGCGGAGGAAGAGAGGGGAAGAGAGAGCAGGAGAGACGATGCAACAACTGTGAGCCATTCTTACTGCGTCTGCTGCGTCCTTGGCTGCTGTGAGTGCAACGAGCTAAGAGTGAAGGAAAGAGAGGGGGAGAGAGGGAGTGGGAGCCAGGATACGAGGCAAGAACAGCGAGGAGTTCTTACGGCGTCTGCTGCGTCCTTGGCTGCTCGGAATCGTCTCGAGCGCTGCTGGTTCATCTTGGCTCGCGGGGCCACACCGTCTGCAGGGAAGGAGCAGACGACGGACGGGGCGCAGGGGAGAGGGGGAGCGGTTATGAGAGAGGCGCAGACGTGAGAGAGCAGGGGAGTAACCCTAAAAGTAGCACGGAACACCCACCAGTAACCGTGAAAGTAGCAGGTAACCCCTAAAACTAGCAGGGAACACCCACCACACCAATAACCCTGAAAGCAGCAGGGAACACCCACCAATGCCCATGAAGAGCACTTTGCGAGGTCGGATCATGGCGAAGAGGCGGTCGATGTAGTCAAAGATGTTCTGAAACACCTCGTGCAGGGTTGTGGGCGACGGCTGCCAGTGCGGCGCGGAGAGGAGGAACAGACGGGAGGGGGTGAGAGGGAGGGGACAGAGAGAGGGGGAGGGGGGGGGGGGATGACGTCAGAGCAAGAAGATGTTCTCAAACACCTCGTGCAGAGTCGTGGGGAACGGCTGAAGGGAAGACGAAGAAGAGAAGAGCAGAGGGAGACGGGGAGAAGGAAGGACGAAGGGACGGGAGAGAACAGGTGGGAGGGGAGGGAGGGACGGGTGGGACAGAGGAGCGGCTCCAAAAGCGGTGTATCGCACAGAGCCTTTGCCACGAACGGGGTGAGATATGGATCCCAGAACGGCGGGTGCTGGAGGCTGAATTAGCACGTGACACGATCACGGGAGACAAGGCAAAGCCGGTTGAGGGAAACGCGAGCGCTTTAGCAAAATTGATTTAAGGAGGCCCAGATGCTAGGAAAAGCTCTGACAGTAGAAAAGGCTCCGATTTCTGTGCCAAGCGACTCCCCCTAACCACGAAATCGATGCACAACTTGACTACGAATCCGTTCATACCCAAACCGGTAGCACCCTATAGCAGGTGCAGATCCTTCGCAAACTCGCCGCTGCGGTAACTTGAAGTAAAGGCGATTCGACGCAAGGTTCTCTCGAGCATGTTCGCTTCCCAAGCGCCTCAGACTGCTTACGCAACCTTCGGGATGGAAGCAGGAACGAATGCTCCCGCTCACGCTCGCCTACGAATTGTCGAAATCGCCGTTACAAACCCTCTCCGTTAACGTTATCCATAGCATAAGCTTGTTTCTAATCGCCTAGATATCCTTACGCGACCTTCGGGAAGGAAGCAGGAACGGATGAGCCCGTTCACGTCGAGGCACAGATTGCCGACCGCCGTGCTTTCACCTATGGCGATCCTCTATGCTATTCCCTAGAGAGCTTGTTCCTGATCGCCTGAACTGTCTGACGCGATCCTCGGAATGGAATCCGGAACGGATGATGCCGTTCACGTGGAGGTACAGATTGTCGGCTCGCCGTTAAAAAGAAATCTATGCTGAATTTAATCCGTACACAGCTTTTTTCTGATCGCTTAACATACTCACGCGATCCTCGGGGTGAAAGCACGGATGGATGATGCCATTCATGTCGAGGTATAGGTTGCCGATAGTAGCCGTTAAGGAACTCGTGTTAGGGTTGATCCCATCTGCAGTGCTCTCTTTCTAGTCACCTCCGAATACTCACGCGATCCTCGGGGTGGAAGCAGGGGTGGATGATGCCGTTCATGTCGAGGTACAGGTTGTCGAACTCGCCGTTGGGGTTCTCCTCCACCGTGTTCACGGGCACCGTCACGCCGTCGATCACCTGCTCCTCCTCTTCTATCACATCCACTATGATCAACGGGTACTTGTCCGCCAGCCAGCGGTAGAACGCCGGAACACCCATCGCGAGCGAGCCAGCAAATGTAACCGCGCTGCGCGAACTGGCAAGCGAAAAAAATAAACGACCAGCTGCTATGCTCCTAGGTTAAATCTACCACCCTATCTACCAGCTCGCGCCTGGACTAAATAGGGTATCCTACAATGAGAAATTTTCTGGAAACCCGAGATAGAGGCAGATGGAAAACTGAGGCTGCTGAAAGGAGTTTGACCAAGGCGGATTGACTGGTTTGCTCCAGCCACGGAAAGTGCGACCGCAGCGACAGAACCAGGGTTTGGTTGGCGGTGCTGAGGTGAGAGGTGTCGTGGGGACAAGTGTGAGGAGGAACGGAGAGAAGACTGGCCAGGAGGAACAGAGTCACGGACGGAGGTGAGTCATTGGACGGCTAGATATTTCCATAAAGCGATCGGACAAAGTTTCCGCCGAACGATGCGAACCAACTGCCCAAAACAGCCACTTTAGCCGAACCAAACTGCTGGGTTTACCTCCGCTCATGTTTGTTGCGTTGCGTTTGCCTCACTCCACCCAAACCAGCACCCAAACCCAAGCACGTCTCCGTCAAGCTGTCCACGTCAGCGTCCAACGACCGACAAACTATCCAATATAAAGAAGACTTCTGTAACAGAGAGTTATGACTAACTACCCTACCCTTAAGATGTTCCTCCATATATTGCTAAACTTCCGTTTGTGATATGGTTTCTTATATTTTATTGTATTTTCATTCCAAGGGTATAAGTGACTTGGCGTACAAATTGGTTGATCGTGACTGAAAACTTTTACCCGTTTGGCTATCATGGCTTTTGCATCCACACCATTATCGGACAATCATATAAAATCCCAACCCCTTTACCAAAGTTGTAGGAACAATGCCTACTACGGTACTTCAACTATTTTGTGAGATTCGTCTCTATGCCACGTCAATATCTACTGGAGCGGAGTGGTTCTTAGTGGAAATTGCTGAGTTTTGTCAGACGTGTAGTGAAACGAGCCATAATTCGAATGCACAACACATGGAATAGAGGGGCATCAACGATGCAATTACCAAGACTGTCCTTGGGTCTTTTTTCTCTCTGCTAGCGGTGTGTTGCAAGGGCGTGAGGAGGCAGCAAAGGGGACATGGTAGTTGGCATAGAGTGGTGCAAAACAAGGGAGCAAGTGTTAGAATACTAGAATCGCTAGGTAGGAAGAGAAGACGCCATGAATAGCGAGAGGTTTTAGGCTAGGAGAAAGGTACGAGAGAGAAGAGTGATTGGAATAGAGGAGAGAAGGATACAAGATGGGGGGTTGTACCCTCTACAGTAGAATCCAGTAACACGTACAGAGCCTACCATAATATATATCTCAAATATATAATTTATCACACCCCCTAGGTTCGGTAGCTGAAAGCCCATCACACACACAACACAATAAGCCTTGCACCCCCTAGCCACAATAGTCATGTGCCTTGTAAGGACCACTAGCCTGCGTCCTCCCAGCACTAGCTCCATGCCCGATGTACTTGCTAGATAACGCAAAACCCTCTTAGCGGCCGACCAGTGCTGTGGTCGGTGTCTGCCAGTGGCCACAAAGCGAGCCAGGATGCTGAGAGGGTATGCGAGATCTGGACGAGTGCAAGTCATCAGGTACATGAAGCAACCCATCAGCCCTGCGTAAGGACCACTAGGCTCTACCGACTCCTCAGGGACTAGAGCCGAGAGAGTGTGATCTACTAACAGAGGTGTGGGCTATGCAGAGGAAAACTGAAGTCCGAACCTCTGAAGGACGTGACGCACCAAGTGTGATTGTGTGAGAGTGATGGTGTGCGCTACTCTGTCCCTAGAGGTCTGCAGACTAAGGTAGCGGCGTAACTCTCTTAGGTCAGTGCAGGTGTGTCTCCTCAGCAGCTCAGCCTTCACAAAGGCCAGTGCGTCTCTGTCTGCAGTAGCAAAGGCCAAGTCGTCTATGTAGACAAGGATGTAGAACGGGGTATGGCTTGAACAAAGGAAGAGCATATGGTCTGCAAACGATGGGAAGAACTGCAGGTCAGCTAGCGTAGCATGCAGCGTGTCGTGCCACTCCCGAGGTACCTGCCGCAGGTCGTAGACCGGGCGCCAGAGAAGCTACTGGGTCCCAGGGGAGAAGGTGTTGGTGAAGCCTTGCATGCGGCGCAGGTAGACCTGCTCGTGCAGACTGCCCTGGAGAAACACTGTTGAGAAATCGAGGGAGTGCAGCTCGTAGTCACGCTGTGCTACTACGTGTAGCAGCACCCGAAGAGTGGTAATTTTCGAGGTCGGAGTGAAGGTCTGGAAGAAATCAATACCCTCGCGCTGACTGAAGCCTCTAACCACGTAGTGCGCCTTGAACAGAGGCGGCTCTTCAGGAGGGCATCTCACCTTGAAGAGCCACCGGCCATAGACTATGTTCACCCCTGGTGGGGGAACTGCGTCGACATAGGTGCCGGTGGATCTCCAAAATGCCATCTCCGCATCCATGGCAGCCATCCACCGAGAGGCCCAGGGTCTCCTTAGCGTCAAGGGCATGTCAAGGGGTCGGGATTTCAAGGGCATCTGGGTTACCCTTTGGGACTAAGAGCATGGAGCAAAGATGGGGACTGGCATCGGACAGGAAAGCTAGCTCATACTGCCTGTCCTCTAGGACGTCATTGCCAAGGGCAGGTGCACCCCAGATGGATGGAGGACTGGGAGGGTCAGAGACAAAAGCTGTGGCATAGTCAAGGCAGCGGGTAGAGGCAAATTCAATGACGACAGCGACAAGAGCGCCAGGACTGGACACAGGAACTGACGGGTCGGTAACGCGAGGAACAAGCGGACGAGCGGCATGGAGGAAGTCAGAGAGAGGAGGCAAGGAGACAACAAGCGATGACTGAGGAGGCGACGGTAGAAGAGGAGCACGAGATGCGTGAGAGCGGAGCAACATAGGGTGTGAGCACTGGATAGGAGAAAAAGAACGAGCACGAAAGGCACGGTGAGACCACTAGTGGGAGGGGGCGGTCGGGTCAGGAGACAAGGGAGGAGACACAGGAGGAGAACGAGCGGGGAAACAAGCCAAGGACGAGTCCGGAGGAGGAAACACAGAGCCATAGACAGGCGGGGGAGGCGGCAGCGGGGGAGGCACAGGCGGGCGGTCGGGGAAGGGAAGACCCAGGAAGCGAAGAGCGGACATCGGCGGCGACTGCTGCTGCTTCTCCACACCGATGCCACAACCTCCAGCCGCACAACGATTACCTCCAGGACGCTCCACAACAGCACCCCCAGAACGAGAACCCTCTCCAACACCGGTGCCAACCCCAGGACCGCCGGAACAAGCCATGTAGTACCCCCAGGACTAGAACCCTCCTCAACGCCCACACTCCTACAGCTCGCGGACCCCTGCAGTGACTGCGATTGCCGCGGTGGCGACTGCGGCTGCTGCTGCGGCTACGACGGCGGTTGCAGCTACGGCGAGCAGATGAGGAGACACCGGGGTGGAGACTGGCGGTGAAACAGAAGCCGCGGGGCCCCCAGAGTCAGCCGACACCTCTACCGGGACAACCGACAGGAGGGGAGTGACGTGAGACACACCAGACTGGGCAGGATAGGAAGGGAGAGGAGCAGGGGCTACCGGGGGAGTGGGCACCGGGGAGACCTCAGACAAGGCCGTGCTGGGAGATGTGACAAAGACGCGGGAGTGCGGGGTGACCTAAGCAATGGCGCCCCAATAACAAAGGGTAAGTGAGTGACCAATACAGGCAAGCCGCAGCGACCTGGGTAGATGCAGTCACCTTGGGGGACGCTCCCATTGGGTGGGACGCAGTGTCCAGCGTGAACAGGCCAGACACCGTGTCCCAGGGGAATGTGGTGAGGGGGGCACTTGTGGCAGCCTCAGTACAGACAGGGTACCGCTCGTGACCAGGAAGCGTAGTGGTTATGCCAAGGTCCTAAAGACAGCCAACACCAACTAGGTTCCTAGAGAACAAGGGGATGTGCAAGCCTGTAAGGGAGCCTGAGGGAACCACCGGACAAGGAAGGGTAGTGGAGTCATGCGCAACTACAAGACCAGAGGTGGGGGTAGTAAGCGCGACAGCGGCAGGGGCGGCAAGCGGTATAAGCGCAGTTTGGTCATGGAAGAAACAGGCAAACGCAGTGGAGTCTATTGTGAAGGAGAGAGCAGCGGTAGCGTCAATCTGTGGAGGAGCTAGCATAGAGCCAAGGCTAAAGAAGGCAAGAGGTCCTACCCCTGACGCACCGTGGAAACCACCACTAGAGGTGCTGGGACACCCCGGCGGGAGGCGACCCCACTTCTACTGCAGCTGCCTCTGCTGCTGCTGCTGCTGCGGCTACGACTGCTGCTACTACGGCTGCTGCTGCTGCTGCAAAAGCGGCGGCTCTTATCCTGACGAGGTTGCGCTGAGGCCGTTGCGTCGACGGTCTCAGTAGCGGGGGATGTCTCAGTGATAGTGGCAGAAACATCAGAGTAAGGGCAGTGGGAGGGAGCACAACCAAGGAAAATAGGGACCGACGCAATACCTTTAGATTTAGCAATAGTGCACTGGCGGGTCTCTATCGCAAACAGGGTGGTGACAAAGCCAGTAAGGGTGAGGTCACTGTCAACAAATATATTTATATACAGTGACAGAAACAATGGTCCGGATGTTTTGCATTAATTAGGGTTTTTGGGCTTTTCAATCACTGTACATACAGTCTTAATATTTAATGGTGGTACGCTTTGAGAGGGGCATATAATGGATGTGATCACAACACAAAAATCCATGATAGTACACTGGATCTAACTTAGTGCCAAAAGATATACAAAGAGTACATTCAGACAATTATTTCGCGCAGAGTTTCTAGTACCTAGTCCACCAACACTTGGCCTTGATCACCACCTGCACTGTCACAGGATCGAATGTGTCGAGGAAAGGTTGCACTATCGATCGGTACAAGGCGCTTTTATACTTCCAGAGTACATCAGGTAACCAGGTTTATCTTATCCTAAGGGAATAGACCCTTCTAGAAGATAGAATCACCCTGCGTATAGCCACGTGAGGCTATTGGCTTTAAGGGATTACGGCAGGATTACGCTGGATAACGTCTCTAGTACATTCCATGCCTGGTCGGTGATATAATTATAATAAAGGAAGAGACCAAAGGATAATGGAAAATGGAAAATAGGAAACCAAATGAGATGCGGTAAAACGAGAAATGAAAAGGGAAGGAAATAAGAAAAGGCCAAGTGGTGTAACGGGGTCGTACTCTCACACTTCCCCCCCTCAAAGCTGGGTGGTAGA